CATCTTAGGTTGGCCAGGCTTCAGTACGAAGATGGCTTAGCTAATACTGCCCCGCAAAATCAAAAGGAATTCTGCGCTTACGTTAAACGACGCTGTGGTGCAAACTCGCCCATACCACCATTGCTTCGAGGAGATGGAACCCATGCCTTTAGCGACTATGACAAGACATGCGTGTTTGGTGAGCAATACTCAAGCGTCTTTGTCCACGAGACAAATACGCCATGAAAAGCTTTAGCTTCAGGTGTCTCTGAGGACTGTTGTCTGGATGAAATTCCTGTAACTGAGTCCCAAGATCTCCGGTTGCTAAGAGAGGTAAACCCAACTCAATGCTTCCGGGTCAGCTGCTGTGCATCCAAAATTGTTGCACGAATTGGCAGTGGAACTCAGTGGACCTCTGACTTGTGTGTCTCAGAAGTCACTCAACAGCTGTGTCTTGCCTACCGAATGGAAGGAGGCTGTTGTCTGCCAGATTTTTAAGTGCGGTGACAAAGATCTAACGGCTAATTACAGGCCTGTCAGCTTGACTAGCGTGGCCGTTAAGTTACTTGAAAAATTAGTATGAAATACAGTGGAGAACCATTTAAATAGGTTTAACCAGTTTCACGCCGAGCAACATGGTTTTCGCAAAGGATTTTCGTGTCAGACGAACTTGCTGGTTGCTCGTGAGTGCTGTGCTGATGCCGTAGACAGTGGGCATGTGGTGGATGTGGTGTACATTGGCTTCGCCAAAGCCTTTGACACTGTCCCCCATTCGCGACTCTCACTGAAGTTGGGGTCGTATGGAATAGCTGGTCGCACTCTCCAGTGGGTGTCAGCTTTTCTGGTTGGACGGGAACAATGTATTCGTGTGAGAAGCAGTCTTTCGTTTGGACAAGCTGTACTTAGCGGCGTTCCGCAAGGCTCTGTCCTAGGTCCGCTGCTGTTCTCAGTCTACGTGAATGACTTGCCGGAGGAGCTTGAGGTACCATCGCTCTTATTTGCTGATGACCTAAAGCTCTGGAATATTGTTGCTATCCCTGGAGGTCCTGTGGCTGTACAACGGACTCTGGATAGACTCTGGGAATGATCTGTCTTGTGGTTGCTGCTCATAAACCGGGCAAAATGTTCAGTGCTCCGTATCGGAGCGTCTGTTTCCTCCGGAAGTTATGTGCTCGATGGGAGTGAACTTCCTCACGTGCCTCATCAGGTTGATCTAGGTGTCGTCCACTATTCCACACTACGCTCTGGCGACAACTAGAAGAAGGCGGCTAGTAAAGGGTTCCGGATGTTGTGGCTTATCTGTCGTTCTTTCGGGACCCTAACCGCTGATGTGTTTGTGAGCTCTTCTCGGCGTTTGTGCTACCCCACCTAGAATATTGCGTCCAGGCCCGTCCACCATGACTTGTCCGAGACAAAATGGCACTAAAAAGGATGTTGCGTATCGGTACTAGGTTGGCCAGTGGATTAAGCGGAGAAGCTTACCCCGAACGTCTACTTAGTTTGGGGATCCATCAATGCACTACCGAAGGATCCGAAGGGAGCTAATCCTAAGCTATCGTATTTTGACTGGGAAGATTGACCCTGATTTGTCCATGCTACTTAGTCCTGCTAGATTATCTGGTTTCCGCAGGCATTATATGAAGCTGGACAAACCACGGTCCGATTGAGTTAGAGCGGAGACACGGTTATCACGTCGAGTCATCGAGCGCTGGAACCTGGTTCCAGAACATGTTGTCAAGGCACTTACAGTTAAAGGTTTTGAGCGTCAACTAGACGCTCTTGGGTGGCAACGCGAAACCTTTCCTCTTTCCTGACTAATTAACACCTTCATACTTCGATACTATTTTCTTTACTTTTCCTCGCCATTGGTATTATGCTCCTCTTTTAACTGATTTCCCTTACACACTTACCTTCGATTTCTCCTCCTTTCTTACTTATTTCACATAACGGACATAGCAGGGAGACCTAATATAAGGAACGAGGGCATTAAAATGCTGGACCAGGGTGCTTTATCGGGTGTTTTACTTTTAGACCCATCAAGAAGTCGGAGCACCCCTATCAACTCCTGGATCGACGACCCGCTCAAGAAGGAACACTTACGGGATTCATCCTATGGTTCCAGTCCCACTTGAACTTGCAACTGAATTTGAATTACCAAGACGCTTAACCGTAACATGCTTCGTTTTTTTTATGTTGTGAAGTCAGTGTGACGAACTAAATGATTAAGAATGCGACCATACCCACATCTCACCTAAGGAAAGATGGTTTCCTTTTATTTATGCAGGTACCAACCCAGCTTGTAAGCTTATTCCCCTAATTCAGTGCTGCTGGTTCTTTTTCCCTAGCTCAAAACTCCTGAATGGAACGGGACGCTAATGCAGTAATCATGCTTTTATGAAGTGCGAATAATTACATTGGGCCCTACATGCCTGTTCATTATTATTGCCTTCAAAGTAAGCCATCCATTGTATGTATTTTTTAAATTCATCATTACCCGCCTTAGCAACACAGAATTTGCGACCAACGTAGTATGCCTACCTTCTTCCTTTAATCATGGAGTATTTTCTTTTTATGCTTTGTGGTTAATTTGTAATTTTACATCTTTTTCTAAAGGAGACTGTAACTGTGCGGTTGTAACGCAGTTTTGTGTAGCCGTCCGCGGGTGTCAAGGTGACACATTAGCAGGTAGGAGGTAGATCGATTTTTCTTTCTGTAATCTTTACCCTTTTATTCCTCTCCGACACTTTTCCTTCGCTCTTCCGTGCTTCCTTAGCTGCTTCCCTTACGTCGGCCTCTTACTAGGTGGTCGAGCCTCCAGCCGTCTACGAGGTAGTTAGTTTGCATTGCAACTTGCCGCACTTCGTGGACGCGGAAGAGCTTGGAACGCCAGACCAGAGGAATATTACATATTTGGTGACCCTGCCAGTTCACGACAGCAGTCCACGAAGTTAGATTGTAGCTCTTGAGGCAATAGTTAACGTTCTGCTATCAAGCTCAAGTGGGACTGGAAAAGGAGGAAAACCCTGCAAATGTTCCACCTTCGAAAACGTCGTTGATACAACAGGGAAACCGGTGCTTTGATATGCCAAAGGAGAGCCAAATAAACCCACACGATTCGCACGGCCAACCAAAGAACGCCCACACGTCCAGCGCTAGCAGTCCCCGCTGTGCCGGCCACGTGCATAATAAAAGAAAACCGTAGTGTCAGTAAAGGAAAGGAAACAGAGTGTAGTGACATGGCGATTATCCCGTTTTTCTGCGTAAAATATTATTAAAATATAATACCATTTTGTGCACTGACAACTTAGGGAAATTGCGTATTAGCACGATGACGGCGTGGGTTGGAGTCAACAGGTCGAATCGCATTCGCGCGCTTCTGGACAGCTGTCCTGTGAGTACTACGCGGTAACGCGATTTTTTGGCGTGCCATACTGATCGAGGTTTTTAGCTGAAATAACGTGAAAAACAGTGTTTGAATAAGCACTTGAAACCAAATTAGACTATTGTCCAATTTTCTCTGATCCAAGGTAACTTGGATCGATTAAAGTGGTACTGGCCAAAGCGTCTTTGGCGCTTAATGGTAATTTTTCCGGTTGTTCTCAGTTTTGATCCCGTTCTGCACCCTGTTTTTACCCTTTTATTGCTGTCGTTTTGATATTGTATACGTGTTGTAGTTCTACTCTGTTTTCCACATGAACATGACTGTCTCGCTAAACACCGACCCTGCTAGCAAATACGGAGGTATACGAAGATTTTTCTTCGTTATACGTGTCCGGACACAGTACGAAGGTATACGAAGGTTTTACGAAGGTAAACTGAGATTTACCTTCGTAAAAGCTTAGTGTTTGCCGCTGAGTGACACGAGGAATACGAAGGTGGTTGTCCGCCAATCGGTTGTGTAGTTTTTGGTGCGCACGTGTATGCGTCAGCCATACGCAACCAATCACAGGACAGACGGACCGCACTTACGGAGGTAAACGAAGATTTTTCTCCGTCAATACGAAGCGCAGCCTTCGTAATGACGGAGGGAATACGAAGCGTTTCCTTAGTCAATACGAAGGTTTCTCTTAGTAAATACGAAGGCGTTTCCCCGTATTGACGGAGCAATACGAAGGTTTATCTCAGTAAATACGAAGGCTGCTCTTCGTAATTACGAAGCAATACGGTGAATTCTCTTAGCACGTACGAACGTCGGTCACCTTACTGAAGAAGCTATACTAAGGTTTCTCTCAATATATACGAAGGTTGCTCTTCGTACTTATGAAGCGATACTAAGATTTTCGACGCCATGCTACGATTCTTCTAAGTAATTTGCAACGATGCTCATGCTAATAACGAAGCGAAAGTAAGAGATCACTTAGTTAATGGGCTACCTTACCAAAGGGTAACGTTCACGTGAGGGACGCGATTCAAGGCTTTCGGGAAGCCTACAGGAAGAGGTTTCTCCTTATGGCGTAAGCCAAATGCTTCTAACTAATCACTATGAAGCTATTAGTATATCACGGTTTGCTTACATAAGGTACCGGAAACGGTCGTACTTTTGCCGTACACGGCCCAGTGAACGTTTTCAAAAATGTGGACGCACAATACATGAAAGCAATACGTAAGCAGACTGCTGCGAGGAGTACATTGTCCACTTACCCATAGGGTATTTGCAGCCTGATTTCCCTTCTCCCCGTCCGACTAGGTAACGAAATGACCAGGGAGTAAATACCGCATTTGTGAGTCAGTCAATCCCACACCATTGCAAAAGCTGCCTGACATCTTAATGCAAATGTGAACGAGCGTACGTTATCAGCTACGGCGAAATATGAAACCGCGCAACGTAGTTGTCCCTGTCTTTTGATAAAATAAAGACCATGGCCTGCAGTGCCTTCCTTCCAGTCACGCAGTAGTCGAAATGCGGTAGTCACAATACGCGCCGAGACGGTGACATCGTATCGCATATGCGGAAATACCAGGGAGCGCTTGAAGCAAACCAGAAAATGGTTACAAATGTATATTAAAGTGCATGTAAACATTTACAAGTTTGTCCGTGTTTCCTGATTGCTCTGATTGTCTAAATCTATCAAATCAAAAGGCTGTAATTGAAGCCGTTATGTACGGCATTAAAGGTACACAATACCTGCGATTCCTGACTGCTTGATGCGGCAGATGTACGCCGGTGCAGATTGCTCCGGGTAATCTGTAACCATTTGCAAACGCCGTTCGCTACGGCGTTGGCCGTGACCCCAAATCGGTTAACGATAACTTCTGTGAAGGAAGATAAAGTTGGAAAGGTTATCTGAGTTACCTTGAAGCGCACTGAATGTGTGCGTTTTCTTGAACGGTATCGCGTTGTTTGCACCCGCGAAGTTAAGCTGCCTCAAGACCTCTCTGTTCAGAACCCTATCCAACATGTATCGAATGGCCTCCGATACCGTGCCGGCGGGTGTTGAGTTCATGCGAGTAGTCTAAGTCATGAATGGAAAATCCTGCAAGGTGACTTACCAGTTCTCGACGGAGGTCTGGGTCCACCAATTTACTCTCTAACTCCATGAATTCCTCAATAGTTGAGGTAGGTAGAGATAAATCATTAGGTTGCATTGGTTTTGCAGTCCACATGGCCTGGCTCATGGCCGCGTGGCTCTCCTTCAATACGTGAAGGGTCTCCTCCACGCGTCTAAGTGAATCTGCTAATTCGTCGCAAGTAAGAAGCTCAAACATACCGACCACAGCGTGCAAAGTGTGCATGACCCTTTTGTCAGATTCATGACACCTGCCTGCCAGGGCGTGTATCTAAAGTGCAAAACCGGAAGACTTACAGCATTTCATACCCTCCGTTTGAACGGCTACTTCATTACATCCACCTGTTGCGGAAAACGGAATTACGGAAAAGGGAACTTACGCATGTGAGTATCCTCCTGGAAGTCATCAGCAATCTGAGGAGGCATGGTATGCCGCGCCACGTCCTCCAACGAGAATTCCGGAAATCTCCCATAGGTTGCAGATGCAGGAGCGTTGCACCGTTTTTTTCTGGTCGGTACATTCTCATCCCCGTAATCACGAAGTTTCGCCGGCAGGCGTCTGCAATGCATTGCGTTATCAAATGTGTAGCGCATTACATAACTCGCTTCGGTGATGTTTGCATGGGGATGGTGCAATCGGTGTCCGTCCCATGACGTTGATCCCCGACGGTACTTTCCAGTCGGCGTGCGTCCTCGAAATGCACTGCAAATGATTAAATGAATGTCCTTACCTGTACGATGAAGTACCGTCACTGGAAACATTTTGCAATCAGCTATGGGGTATCTGTGCTCCCGCACCGCCTGGTGGTAATCGAACAGTGGAAGGTTGGGCAAAAGAGCATGCTGCCCGTCCTCCAACAGCCATCTGCTGCTTATTGTGTTCACTTGGGACACACCGTCGTGCTTGTAAGTGACAACGCAGTAATCCCACAGCGACATATCTGTAGAAGCCATTACATACGTGATTACCGTAAGCATGCAACTGCTGGACGCCCCCGTAAAAAACGGGAAAACAGACAACACATACAACCGCAGACTACAGATGGAACACTCGGAAGTAAGCTATGGAAGGAGTATATTTTAATGGGTGTCATCCGTAATGGTTCCAGATACACAACATTAAATCACATCGTGGCCTTCCTATGTTCCTCAGGTCGGGATTGTCGCAAGTTCCCCTCCAATCCATCTTTCCGTGTTGCTTAGTGCAAGGGAAATTACTGACGTGATCTCGCATAACTGGGACATAACAAAAAGCGGCACTTACCGGAGTCTGTGGGCACAAAGGAATATAGGTACTTGAATACCTGTTATCAACATGGGCCGCATTCTTGAGTTTTCAAAATGTTTGAATTTTTTGGTCTTTTTCTATTATCATTTTGCTTTCTTTTCCGTCTCCAGATGAATTGTTACCGTAAGGATAATGAAATGGTCACATATACCATGCGGATAAACAGGCGGAGTCGGTAAATGCCGTTAGCACCATATGTAAGGGTATCCTGCAGCACGCATACCTTGTGATCATGGCATAGGTCAACAAGACCGCAAACCTACGGCACCCTGGGTTGTCGCGTTCTAAATGTATGCAGCAATGGGATGATGACTTCGTCTAAACCAACGGTGAAACATACGCATTTGCATAGGATGTCATGAATAGGAAACCGCCGCAAGTCATCAGACACACCATTAGCAACATAAATATGCAGCCTGGAAGACGGCATACTATGGACGTATAAATCTCTGAGATGTAGGAATGATGCGCAGTTAACATATGCGGTTGCAGCAACGTCCGGTTGCAACGATACTATCTGGTACGGTTTCTTTCCTACGATGATTACGTTGTCCGGTTTGCTTGGGAAAAACACGGTCCCATTTAACCGAAAACCCATTTGCCTATTTATTTCGATGAGGGATACAGTTTCACATAAGTTGGAGGGCTGATTACCATTGCATAAGTTTCCCTGGAACTCCATACACCGTCGCAAAAGCTGAGGAACGATGTTCACTGGGCTTCGTATTCGCCTTTTCAGACACCTAATGTAAGATTCGAAAGGGAACGCGGAGAAATCATCCAGTGTCCCATGTGCATACGCATCTTGTGCCAAATGACACAGCGAATGCATGTTGAATGTCATTTCTTCAGCCCCATACAGTTTGAAGAAACGCGAAATAAACACCATCAGTACATTATGTGCAAAAGAGCAACATTTTCTGAATAGCAAAGGATGACAAAGCAGATAAATACCTAAATGCAAATCCAAGAAATTGACGTAATAGTCCAGGGGCAAAATATCCGCCAGAACCGCGGGTCCGGCATACAACAAGAATTGCCGAAATTCAGACGCTTTCCACCATCTGAACTTATCTACGCCTCTACAACGGCGTGGAAAATCACGCGGCCAATGACACCGATTCATGTCAAGGACATCGTTAAGACGTGACACAGTGTCCATATCCAAGCGAAAATCCTTGCTAGCGGCGGCAGTTGTCCACAAGGATATCATGCGCCGCATAACACCCAAGCAAACAGCATGCATATAGTCTATAGGAAACTGCTCCACCATGTCTATGGGCAAGTATTCAAATGGTGACCATTTGCTACGGCAGTGCGCACGGAAGGACTCATTGGTACGTAGGCGGCAATCGGTGCAAGGAAACGTTACTTTCCCAGAGACATAAACACCTCGCTGCACACATTTGTCGCAGCTGCCGTACCCGGAATGTGCTTTACTACGCTTCACATATGATCTTGCTGGTGCATCACAAATGATATTAGAGATACGCACAGCGTTTGGTGTAGACCGCCCGGGCAACATAACGCCTGTTCGAAGTAACGTTCTCAATTCCGTTACAAGTGGAGCCAAAAAGTGGTGTACATTCCACGGTTTTCGTGGACCCGAGTATACACCAACCAAAAATGGATGCGATATCAAGGGCGCCACAGACCTACACAAAATGGGCCAAACTTGCACACCGGATGAATTAAATGGTGAGAACCCATCCACATGCAACTGCAGGTGAATGCTCTGGTAGGTGGGCACACTTTCGCAACGGTAAGCCATCTTCAGACCGTCAATTATCCCCATGTGACCATACGTACCAGGATGTACCTCCATCTCGTTAGTGGTTCTTGGAGTTCTCATCAACGTCCGGTAATCCTTCGGTAGAGACGGTATGAACTTACGCAACCCTTCCAGAAGCTTGTTAACAGCCCAAGCCGAGGTGTTGGTATTAAGCACCCATGATGCGAGGAAACTACGTGCCTCATCACACGGCGTTGGTGACGTAGTCAAATCTATAGCACTGCAATCATGCTCCCCTAGTTCGCAGCTCATGCTTTGCACGTCATCACTCTCGGTTTCCGTCCTTGGTGACTGAACGGAAAGTACGTCGGGGGATTCGCGTATACAGCGGTTGTGGTCCGCATCTGAAAGGTTACGCGGTGGCGAGACGCAGAAGTCTACAAACACACAAAAAGGTTGTCCGTGAACCTTACCTCCCATAATTGCATCCACGTTACAAGTGGGGCTACGGTTGCGCTCACTGAATGCCTCACGCTCTGCGAGTCTACGCAAAAGAAGCAATCGCATTCTCAATGTGCGTGCAGAAGGTAACGCAAACGAACAACGACGTCTTGTTAAACGACTACGCATCTCTAGAACATGAAATATTAAATGAACAAACGCTTACGTAACGATGCTTAAACAAAAAAAGGTGTCTGAAGTGAATGACGGACGTACCGACAAGGAGACCAATGGGAAACCGTAGAGCAATCAAATGACCGCGCACTTCTATTTCCGGTAAAAAAAGGTACGCAAACAAACACTGACGTTTACCTTAAGGAACACAAATCCACATTATACCTCACTTTATAACCCTTTGACGTTATTATACGTAACATTAATTGTTAAACAAAAAAATTTCTTTGCATTATTTTTGGTCCAATCATACATCTACATAGAAAGTCCACGGACTGCCTTCCTATTGGTTCGTAAATGACGAAGCAAAACGAAGACAAACCTTCGTAAGCGTCCGTCATTGACGGAGGTAAACGAAGGAAAATCTCCGTAAACGTCCGTCAGTGACGGAGCAAAACGAAGCAAACTCTTCGTAACCGTTCGTCATTGACGAGGGTAAACGAAGATTAACCTTCGTTTTGCTTCGTCACTGACGAACGTTTACGAAGAAAAATCTTCGTAAACGTTCGTCAGCGCCTCGCCATTGACGAAGCAAAACGAAGATTTTGCTCAGTATGACGGAGATTTTTCTTCGTCATGTGCTACCAGGGGAGGCGGATGGACCTATGGGGTCCTCGTTTGATGACTCTATGGAGGAACCGGTAAAGGAGAATACCAAGTCAGTCAGGTTTACCTCACATATAAAGTATCCCGATGCACCTTAGCGTCGGACGGCCGTAAATCTCGGGGTATACCGAAATGTGCGCGTACGTAGAGTCCGATCGTGAACCAAGCAGGCAGCGATGCGCACAATCACAACAATCCAGCGGCAACCAAGGAAGAACCACGGAAGACGAGCGCGTAACCAAGTGTGTGTATATATAGTTACTTAAAACAAAGCTGTACAACAACTGCAGCGAAATAGGTAAACGTGAAAATGCAAAATAAGCAAATTATTTACAATCGCTACAGTACTCCCCCCCTAGAGCGTGCACTAAGAAAACGCTCGACAAGTGCCTACGGAACGTATTGAGCAAGCTTATGTGGAAAAGAAACAACACGACCAGAACGTGTGTGTTTGGAGCTGCGTGTAGTCTTAGGGCACGGAGGACTCAATGTACTGGCGTCAGTGTGTCGTTGGGTAGGGGGTAATGAGTCAGGGGTGGGGGTATGCTGAGGAGTGGAAACGGGGTCTTTACTATCGACTGTAGGTTCGACGTAAGCTGGTTTGAGTCGGTCGATGCTCACGGATTCTTTTGATCCATTCTTATTCAACACGAAATACTTTGGTTTCCGTGACAAAACCTGGTACGGGCCTTCATAGGGCGGAGTTAAAGGTCTTCGGACGGCGTCGACGCGGATGAAAACAAACGGATACTTGTGTAAATCGGGGTGGACTTGCTGTTTACGTAGGTTAGGCCGCGTAGACGTTGGTCGAATGGATCGAAAATGCTGTTTGAGCCGTTCAGCGTACGAGAAGGGGTCTAGTTCGCCGGTGGTGCGAGAGTCCAGTACCATCTCCCCAGGTAGTCTGAGAGTCGTCCCGAACACGAGTTCTGCAGGGCAGCACCCAATGTCCTCTTTGATTGTATTGCGTATACCAAGGAGGATCGCAGGTAGACGCTCAGACCAGCGTGAGTCGGACGAAGTAGCCATGATGGCAGCTTTTACTTGTCGATGAAAGCGCTCGATGAGGCCATTGGCAGCGGGGTGGTACGCGGTTGTTCTTATGTGAGTACAGCCTACTAAACGACTCAGATCGCGGAACGGTGTGGAACTGAACTGAGCCCCTCTGTCGGTAGTGATGGTGGATGGAACACCAAACAGAGAAATCCAAGATTCGACAAAAGCACGGGATACAGATTCGGTAGAGGTATCGCGTAAGGGAACAGCTTGTGGCCAACGGGTAAAACGGTCAACACATGTTAGAAGATGAGTGAACCCGTTGG